GCTGCATATGAGGAGGTTGCTACGCAACAATTTGATCTTATGAAACGAGAGCTTTTATTAATTTGCAACTAACAATTAAATTTCAAACTAAATTCTTTGGGAAGTTTGAAAGCACTGTTTTTGTTTTTTGTCTCGATAGGTACGAAGTTAGCTGCGATCAAGGGCTTATCGCCAAATTTTGTTTTTTCGGATTCAGGTTCTGAAGTTAATTTAAACCGTATTTGTTTCTTCACAGTGAAATCAATTGTAGGTGACCAATCAGCCAATCAAAAAACTTATCGTCTTTCTATCTTTTTTAAAAATTTTTGAAGTGCGTGAGTTCTGTTTATAGCATTCCGCAATCCAAAATTTTTTCATAAATTGCAACTGTAGCACCTGTCTCTTTTACGTCCACTACAGTTGGCATTGTCTTTGATCAACTTTCAAATTGCGTTAGGGACCATTAATTTCTTGTTTTTTTTGCAAGAGAGACATTAATCACTAAATTCAGTTCCGGTATATAAAATTTAACCGTTTGATTAAGTATAAATATGGATGGAGATTCATATTAGAATGTAACATGTTTATCTGTGCGGAGGATACAGTCATCAAAACAACCTCATCCACTAGTGCTCTAAAAGCAGATCAGCAAGAGGTCTTAGACAAGACCTATTTTTGATTGACTAAACAATAGAAAAGCAAAACAATTCATTTTGGTAAAAAATATAACAACCAACGGCGTAAAAAGATAAAACTAAAACTTAGCCACAGCTAGGTGGAAAAGAGTCATGAACGCAAAACAAACATGAAATTTTGAAGAAAAAATAGATATACATAAACTTTTTGATTTTTTAAAAACAATTTAGGGTAGACACTTTTTTGACAAAAATTAACGAGGTAAGACTGGATAAATTTGTTAATTTTTTTATTCCGCGGAGAAATCTATAATTTCAAAATCCAATTTCGAAACTAGAAGTTGATCACGGTTTTTCAGATTATTACACTTTGCTGATCGAAAGTGGAGTTTGCTTTCTTTTTAACATAAGAAATGAAATGAATATAAAGTAGTCAAACCGCGAACGTGCAATTTTGAAGAAACCAAACACGGTTTGCAACACGGTCAAACAAACACCTTTTGGAACACTGTCTGACTTATTTAAAATTGATCCAGATGATTTTTGATCCCATCCCATGGTAACGATAGTGTGTGAGGACGAGCTCTAGCTTCAGGTTTTTCACAACTTGAGCAAATTTGGCTGCAATAATGGAACCACGTGAAAGTTCTAGACGAAAAAAACGGCCTTGAGTTGCAAAAAAGAACTTCGCTCAATAAAATAACACAGTCTGGAATGTGGGGAGATAATACAAATGGACTACTGATAGATCCTCTGCGATTCACAGGAACTAAAAAAAAAAATTTGATCCCCCGAAGAACTTTGACCATAAGTTGAAACTTTGAGCTTAAACTGCGAGCGACTCTTCGGATTGAGCACCGCCCAGTGTATATTTGTGCCAAAGGTGCCGTTACAAATAATAGGGGTGGTCAACCAAAACTGAGTTACGGAAAAGTTGGAGAGGAGGCGGTTGGCCTGTTTTTGGGTAGAATGTCATGTTAAGCAATTTCGTTAGGACCCAGTGGACAAAAATACACATACTACTATGATATGATGGAAAAGTTTTTTCAAATGACAAAATTACTTATTTTGCCGTAATTCTGATTAATTCGTGCACAAAGAAAAAAATTGGCTCGGGTTCTAAAATAGATAATTGTCGCTTATTTTTCACTTAAGGAAATCAACAAGACATTAAAATAAAATTTGGAACAATTGTGAGTTCAAAATAAAATGGTACAGATTTAGCTTTCAGCATACAAAGCAAGTAAAAATTAAAAATCTAGAATTGCTGGACCACAGCTTTTTTGTACCATGGCTACTTTTTTAATTGAGAATTTGAGAGCAAAATGAGACTAACAAATTCTCGATAATTTCAGAAGAAAATCAAATCCCAAACCATCGAACATCAACGGAAGTAAGAATAAATTTTAGGACTTGTTTCTCAGAAATCACACTAAATGTAAACTTATAGTGTTTCTAATCACTTAAAAACATCAATTTCTCTAGTTGTTTTTCTGTTACAGCTTTTCTTCATCAAAAATTATGTCACAAAACCAAAAATGAAAACTTTGCCAACAGACAACTGGAAAAAAGTCCAGGAATGCAAGAAAACTGAAAAACATACTGAAATTGACATTTTCCTGCTATTGGCATTTTCCTAACGCAAGAAAACAAAAAAAAACATACTGATTCGTTTTTCAAAAAAAAATCAATTTTTCAATTTGACAGAGATAAATATCTAACCTTAAGGTCTATGGTTTTCACGAACAATTTGTTTTTGACATTTTCCTGATACAATTAGGCAAAACTGAGAAACTAAATTAAATAAGTGAAAATTTTTGTTCCGACCACTGAAAATGGGGAGGAACTTTGTATTCGGGTGTTTTAATTTTTTTTTCGTTTTCCTTTCCACGCAAAATCAGGAACCACAAATAATCATCGGACTGGGTTGAGTGATATATAATTTATTGAAGCCCTTACAGTAATGATTTCAAAGACATTAAATGTTTCAAGAAAAAACTCGTAGTGTTGAGAAAAACCGGTTTGAAATTTTTGAATTTTTTGTCTTAATTAGCGAGCAGTCTTACAATAGCTTACTTTAATGGCTTAAAAGCTTAAAATAGGTTAATTTAAAACGTAAAAACTAAGTTTTACTCAAGTTTTGTTAGAATTTTTGAGTGTTTTAGCGCCTTTTTTGAATCAAAACTTCAAAAATTCAAAAAATTGCAAAAATTTTTAAATTTTTTAAATTTTTATCGCTCATTTTGCTACAAAATTCTTTTAGTCATTTTGCTTCACATTGTTTCCAGTCACTTTGCTACGAAAATTGTTTTTCAATTGCTCATTTTACGACGACTGTCGAAAATGACTAAGCCGAAAATGCCTAAAGTTTTTCGCTCTACTGCTTTTATCACACCACGCCGAATAAACGACAGTAATTTAAAAAAAAAAAACTTTTTTTTGTAGTCTATGGTCGCAATATATTTATGGTCGCCTCTTGCACAGTAACCGGCTATTTGAGTTTGTCTAAATCTTAAGGAAAATTTTAGCTCAATTTCATGTTAAGGTAAAGATGAGTAAAAATTATACTTTTTGAGGTGTTTCGATGATAAATTTACATTTAAGTTTTTCTGGTTGATACGACTCGAGCTTAGGGCCTTTATGAGTAAATTTTTAATGTATTCATGGGCAAACTTAAGGTAGTTTAATTTTACCTTAATTTTTTTGCTTAGGTTCTGCTACTAACAAGGTCTATATCAAATTAAAGCCCTTTTAGTGGTGATTCGAATCACATAAAATAACCCAAATGTTTTTTTAGTGTTGAGAAAAACTGGTTTGAAATTTGAGCAAATAAGCAAGCGAGCAGGCTTACAACAGCTGAATTGTGCCTAATTTAAGACCTTACAACTTGTTTTTAAGCATGTAAAACTAGTTTTTGGAAATTTTTAGCTTCATTTTGGGCACCTAAAACTTCAAAAAATTTCTGAAAAAAATTTAGAAAAAACTTGAATTTTTTTTTGGTATCACACCAAGCAGAATAAACGACACTAATTTGGAAAATATAATTTTCTAAGCCGTAGTTTTCTAAAGACTATGGTCGGAAGATTTTGTGTTACTGGCACATTAACCGGCTATCCTTGTTTTTATTTTTGCTGATGGCGGACTTTAAAAAGTGCTGCTAAAAAACCTTTCAAAAACTATATGTTTTTAATAGATGAATGTATTTTTAATTTTGCGGTTTGATAGCAAAGCAATTTTTCACAAACAAAATAATAGAAAAAATTGAATCACTTCAGCACAAAAGTCAGCAATCTGCAGTTTTAAAAGTTGCTTACTATTCTGTATAAATGAAACTAAGTGAATGCTTATTTAAAGCTTCACAAAACTTCTTAAGAACAAAAGGCAGCCAAGAAAGAAGTTTAATCAAAAAGGTCTAACAAGAGCTGTTCAAATTCATTTAAGTATTAAAACATTGTTTCTGTTGGAAAACTTGCCCTCCTCGACGTTGGAAATGCTTCCTTTATTTGCTTCCTTTATTCCTTTATTTGAAAATTATACTTGAAAATGCTTCCTTTATTTTTTTAACAATTTTTTGTTTTCCGCCATTGAAAATGAGAGGAACTTTGTCTTTGTATTAGTTTTATCTTTTTAAATTACTTTTTCCACAAAAATTCAATTGCTACAAAAAGCTGCTGGAAGGGCTTGAGTGATATATCATATTAAAACCATGGAGTTTGTGATTCGACTGATACTAAAACTTTTCAAAATAACTCTGCCTTAGATTTTTTATTTTTCCAGGAAAATTGTTGTCGAATACATGCTCTTGTTTTTGTAGTTGTTTCTGGCTAGCCATTAGATTCTACTGCTTCTAAATGCTAGATTTTATACTATTACCCTTTCTATGTTTTCTTAGTTTTTCTTACTACAACTGAATCCTAAAATAATGGTTTTTGATTCTCGTTTTGAGATGCCTGTAAATAGACTAGATGTTAATCTTATTTTGCTCTCTGAGGTACTTTTTTCATACACAAAACATTGTAAATTTTTTTTTTAAAATTTTGTTTTTGTAATACTTATTTCTAAACTTGATTGTGTAATAAACTAGATATGGAACCAATTTATTATTACTGTCATTAGAATAATATTTCTACAAGAATCAATCTGCGCATCTTTCGGCATGTTTCCACCAGCTCAATCTATTTCGTGCAGCTTTGATTTCTTTGTTTTAAAAAAAAAGTTGGACCATGTGATCAATCTCCACCCTTAATAGACCAAGTGATTATTCCCCCTCTAAAGTTAAATGACAAGTTCAAGCCGTAAGGCCGGCATGCGCTATGCTCAAAGCTATTAGATGAAAAATATTATTTTTAACCCAGTGAACAATGTCCTCCTTAAATTGATCTAGGGAGCGATTATTCACTTGGTCCAACATTGTGCTCATCTCAGATTTAATTTTTTGGCCTATTTTGTTGGCTCTGACCTAATTCGACATTGAAAACCTGAAAATATTACGATGGGGTTTATAAAGAGCGTCATTTTCCTTGTTTATTTTTACCTCCACTTCTTGTATGGCGGGTGCGGATAAGAGGATTCTTGGGGTCTGTGCGTAGACAAAATCCCTCTCTGGGTTCATCAGGTCAGCTAGGAAGCTTTCACACTCCTTCGACAATTTTTCCAGGTCCAGTTCACTACCAAATAGAAATATACATTTAGTAAAGAAGATATTTTGTTGAGAAAATCAATGCGTCGTGATTGGAGTACGGTTTCAATCATTAATTAATCAGTGGGCTCAGGGAAAATGTGTGCCAGTTTTTCGTCAATTCTGTATCAAAAACCATACCTTTTGCTAAAACAAAGCACCTTTAATTAGTCGCCTTTTAAAAATTTTGCGCAAGAAACACAATTAAACAGTGTATGGACATCTGTTAGATTATCTCTTTTCAAAGATGCATTGTTCATACCACTTACTCTCTCAGTTTTTGACTGTGAGCTTCGATGACCTTGGTTGACCTCTTGAGTCCGGTGACCGATCTTCTGCTGAGTTTGTGTAGCTTCACACTTTCCCTTCTTACTGAGTCGAAGTTCTGCAACGTCTGCGCGCATACTCGCCTCAAGTTGTCCAGACGCTTGAAAAACTCTTTAATTTAGCGTTTAACATCTTCTTATAGCAAAAACAATACCCAGTAGGCTATCAGGTCATTATAAGGACTTTTTTAAATCCCTGACTACGACTTCGTGGACATTACTTTGGTATTTTTTGGCTGAAAAATGTTGCTTTTTAATCTCCGGAAACGGAACTCTGATCAAAGTCAAACCTGGGCCATCAATTTTTAAGGTGATTGCAGAAAAATCAGTTTTTATTTCACCGCCATAGACCATAAGTACCATCGATTTAGGTACCCTCGGACCATGGAACAAACGTTTTTTTATCCTACCTGGAAGAACTGAACAAAGTCTTCGTGTTGATATGGATGATATCCTCCCTGTTGTCGTGGCAAGTTGGCAGGATCGATGAATCTCTGCACTTCGCGAGGTTCATTTAGCATAACGGCCTGAAAGCATACTCAAACTGAATTCGTTGTGATATTGCTTTATATTAAATTGGTATATCGATTTTTGGCCATTGAACAAGAATAGCCGATTCGACCAGTTTTTGAAAGCTTTTTTGGTTTTTTTAATTATTGAGAAGATATTGAGGATAATGATGAGCCACAAGATCAAATTTTCATTGATAAAATGTTTTTAGAATTGTTAGATATAATAGAAGCCTTAAAATTGTGGGAATGAAACTTCAGTCTAATTCCACTCTGAAAAAAATTAAGTTTTAACAACGAAAAAATGCATACCGTTTTTTTTCGACTAAAACAATTTTCATAGAATCCAAATCACGGCTGAAATCGCTGCAATTTGATGATGTTTGTTCTTTCCACTTCGAGCAGTGGTCAGAACAACCAATAAAACCAGAACTGACGATTCGATAGCCAGCAAAATGTATTTGACGTTCTTTTAACTTTAATAAAAATCCCTTTTCGCCAGACAAAAAAAACTCAATTGCGTATAAATTTGAAAAAATGAGGCAATTCAAAAAATATATCATGCCGTTGACTAAAAAATCAAATACTTAAACCAAATTTTCAAGTTACCTTATTTCGTTTCACTCCCAAAAAAAAACAGATAACAAACTTACATTTGCATTTGTTCAAAATCACAAGTGGAAATGTTTAACTGACCGTGAAGTTGAGTTTCGTGGTGTCATTTTGGGGGGACTTGTTGCCCTTGCCCTTGCCCAGTCCCAGCAGCTTCTGCAGGGTCTTGAACTCCTTCTTCTCTTTCGGTCGGGCCACATACAACACGTCCACGCACTTTCGCTCTCTCTGGATATAAATAGAGTACCATTATTTTAAACAAGGTTTTTGACAGCCGTATTTGCCTTTTGACTCTCAGTTTTCTCTCACGCAACAGTTATTGTATCGCCGTTTTTTTAAGCTGACCAATTATTTCTTTTCAGTTTTTTTTGATATCCTTTTTTCGACAAAGTTTTCAAGTCATGTTAACACACTTTTATAAATTTTATGTTAACTAAAAATAGTACATGCAGCTCATGCAATAACAAATTGTTACAATCTACATAAATGTCTTTCCCTTGATGTTCTCCTTCTTTTATCACATGGCGTTTTTCTGAGAGGAAACTTGCTCTTCAAGTCTCGCCGAATTATTGCTTATTCAAGCTTGAGTTCTTTTCCGGCAACGGCTCAAACATTTAAGTGAATTTTCGTTAGGTGCAGGTGTTACAGTTGTCTTGTCTGCAGTAGCAGACGAGGCGTCGCTTTTTTTAGAAAAAAAATAGGAGGACTCCATTGGTATCTTCTTGTATCTCGCATAAACTGATTTAGTTCAAATTACGACCATTTATTACATCCCGCTCTATCGCTGAATGGGTGCCACGGAGGGTTGGTTTCTAAAGGGATGTAACCACATCAGTTAATGCGGAACAAATAGCCCTAAATGAGCATAATTGAATGCCATTTGGGATAATCTAGGAATGTTTTCACCTAAATTCCAATGACTACTGAAAAAGGAAATTTTCATTTCTAAAATAAGCATGACTACTCGTATCAAAGTGAAGCCTTGAATCTTCTGACTTCCCCCTAATGTTGATCAAAATCTTTTGATTAAAAAATTGAATATATTTACAAAAATTTTAATCTCTTAAACTATCCCCTCATACGCTATTTAGAGCACACAGTGAAACATTTTGAGGCATGTCTGAGCTCTTCCCCCACCATATCCTGGTAAGCTATAGTAAGAGCAAATTTTCGCCTAATTACTTTTGGAATAATTTAACTTGCAGCTTAGAACGAAATAGGACGAAATATATCCCGCTTATTTATCCCAGCATGAATTATAGCCGTCCAATGTAGCGCTAAATTCAAACCATTTTTTGTGGAAAACCAAGAGGTGAAGCAGGGGTGGATTTAGGGGAAGGGGGCGGGAAGGCAAACGCCTCCCCCCTCAGGGATTCGAACCCCTGCCAACCCAAAGGGTCCATCCACCCTTTGGTACTTTTTAAGAAACCCATTTTTGGCCGACCGACCCTAAAATTTTTCTAAAGGCGCCTTTGGCGTCAATATATACTTATTTTGTGAGGGGAGCGCGCGCCAAAAAAACAACGTTTTCGTCAAAATTTTCAAAAAAACGCCCAAAAACAGCGTGTCAAAAAACCAGAAAAATTGGCCGAAACAGCGTCTTTTTAGTGCTTTAGGAAAGCTCGGAAAATTAATTTGGTCGACCTAAAAAAAAGGTCGTCAAAGTTTTCAAAATTTTTTTGAAAATCCGCCCCCCCCCCTCGAGAAAATCGTAGATCCGCCCTGAGGCGAAGTGTTTCTTTTTCGAGCCCTGGACATCGATCTCTTTTAGGCTCAATGAAATCCGTGTAATAAAAATTAAAGTGAAGAAAGATACCAAGAATTCCTCCACTTCTTCGAAAGTCAAAACATTAAGACTGCTCGTATGAGGCTGATACCCTGAACGTTACGACTGCCTTCGTAGATAATGCAGTTTACGAGAAAATGTTGTGAAAACGTAGATAATACAGTTTACGATAAATTTTGTGAAAATGAATTTTTTCTTGTTTTTTTTAAACTTGATTATACACGCTATCTATCTATACACCTCAACTATTTTAAGTGCAAAGTGATATATTTCACGTCTAATAATGTTTTAATAACAGCAAATCCTCATTTTCAATTTGTAATGACTTTATTGTCGAGTACGTTTATGACTAAGAAGATCGATGACAGTAGTCAAAATAGTAGCAAAATCCAATTCCTATAACATTACGAAAAGCGGTTTGAGTTGCAATATTTTTTGTTCCGACTTTTGAAGAAAGTCGGAGATACATATGACCGGGCGTTTTTTATTCAGATTGATTAAAAAAAACTGGCTTCATATGGGCATTAATACGGATATTTCAGGATTGCCAAGCGAGTGTGCTTGCACTAGACTAAAGTTCGGTTTTGCTGCCTGGAAAAATACTTTGATATTTTGTTTCAATACGCAAATTATTTATGCGTGGCACTATCCGCAATCAAAATCAGAATCGTTTCAAATTGAATTGAGGCAAGCTAATTGGTCTTATTATTTCCAAAACACCAGTTTGACCAGCCTAAATTTTGTAGTCTGTCAAGATTTCATATGCCAAAAGTGATTCGAAACCAATTGATGGGCAGTCGGAGCATTCAGGGCTGTGCCTGTGATACGAGCAATCTCGTTTACTTTTGAGCTCAAGGTGTCATAAATTTTCAAGTGATATTATGAAAAAGCGAAAGTACGCTTGTCAAAGAGGCGAAACTAGTTTGAAGAAAAAAACCACTCTGAACACAAAAATTCTGCCCTTTCTTCGTAATTTGGAAAAAGAAACTGGATCAACCGTACAAGCCCCCCTAAATGACCTACCGTAGAATACCCTCCCCAAGCATGTAATTTTTCTGAAAATTAATTCTGTATAAAATATGCATTTTATGCAAACGCGCAAATAAAAATGGTTTTTTGCTTTTTTATGCGGGCTTGCATTTGTAAATTGTTTATTACAAAAATTAAAGTTTTAATTCAAATTTTTAAAATAATGCGGTTGATTTTGATTTCAGAAAAAATTATATTTGCTCCCCCTAAATCGATTTGGGGTGGGGGGGGGTTGTACGGGGGGATGATTGTAAGAAAAATTTAGAAAAAGCTTGTGCCCGCGTCAAAACGCTTCTCCTTATTATTCAAAACTCTTAAGCAACTAGTCTGCGCGTATCGTATCAATTCAAAATACAGAATGTTCCGAATATCTTCAAACTGGTTGAATTACGTCGATTATCACTTTAAAAAATTTAAAAATTTCCAAAAAAACCATTACCCGATATTAATGGCTATAAACCTTAGGCCAATGATAGCTTGCCTCAATTTAACTTAGAAATGAACATTCACAATTATATTTGTCATTTGGGGCTTTCGTAAGCTTCTAACTTCTCATTCCAATCATTCAAATACTAAAATATCTAAGAATGTGGGAGATCCTATCAATGCCTTCGTAGTGTGCATACTATTGCACACTCAGATACTTGGAAGTTGCCTGCTACTTTTTGGTAACCTTTCGTGGTAACTTGGAGGTTTCTTTCCGATAACAAAGCGGGAAATGGCAAAAAGTTAAGGCTTCTACTACTTTTTCGCACAAAATGCAGAACAGCACCTAAGATAAAGCCACAAAGCACAACCAAGCTCTTAAGAGTACAACGAGAATTATGAGGAAGCTGTTGGCAATACTCTTTTCGGTTAATGAACCTGAATGGAATTCTATGACGGAAAAGCTAATTTGGCGTCCTCAACCAGGGGCGGATTTAGGGGGTGGGGGTGGGTGGACGCCCTTTCCCCTCAGGGATTCGACCCCCTGCCGACCCAAAGGGTCACTTTGGTACTTTTAAGAAATCCAATTTTGGCCGACCAACCCTAAAACTTTTCTAAAGGCGTTTTTGGCGCTAATATATACTAATTTTGAGAGGGGAGCGCGCGCCGAAAAAATGCGATTTGTTAGTCAACATTTTCCAAAAAGTGCCAAAAACGTCTTTTTCCAAAAACAGTTTCCAAAAAGTGCCAAAAACAGCGATTAAACCGTGCTTAGAGCGAGCTCGAAAAATCAATTAGGTCGACCTAAAAAAAAAAATCCGCCCCCCCCCCCCTCGAGAAAAACCTAGATCCGCCTACTGTCCTCAACATTAAGTTTTTGCGAATCAAGCGCGTAAACATAGTCACCAAAAATTAGCTTACGTAAGAACAGTGCTGATTTAAAGTATCCGGACAAAATGAATAAAATTTTAACTTTGAAACACGTTTTTCTCAAACTGCGTTAAGATTAGACAAAAAGTGAAGAGGACAAAGTTCGCTTAAAATTTCATCAGAATTAATATGGGGCAATTTTTTCTCTTAAAATCTCAACCAAAATTTACCCCAAAAATGGGTAATTTCGGGTTTTTGTACTTAAATTAAAAGTTACGCTGAAATCGCTTTGTTAATTGATCGGATAATTATATCACAAGAAGCCTCCTACACAGGCCAACAAAGTTCTAGAAAGCTTAAGCCTCCAAAAACCCGTGTAAGAGAAAATATTTTTGCATGATAGTCAAAAAAAATAATTTTTACTATAAAAAATCCAAAATCTTTGCTTACAAACCTATTTTTGAACAATTTAGTCAAATTTTTGGAGATTTAACTCTTCTAGAACTTTGTTGGGCTGTGTAGAAGGCTTCTTGTGATATAATTATCCCATCAATTAACAAAACAGTTTCAGCATAATTTTTGACTTGATTAGAAAAACTCTAAGTGACCCATTTTTTGGGGTAAGTTTTGGTTGAGAATTTGGAGAAAAAATTGCATCATAATAATTCTGATGAAATTCTAAGCGAAATTTGTCCTCTTAAGTTTTGTCTAATTTTAACGCAATTTGACAAAAACGTGTTTGAAAATTCAAGTTTTGTTCGTTTTTTTTCCGGATAATTTAAATCAGCACTGTATTATGACGGGGGCTATTCTTATGCGCGAAGGACCAAATGAGCACACAAAAACTAGTGAGCAAAAGACCGAAAACAAAATTAACCGAAAGTCAAGTTTTAAAAAGAACCAAATGCCATTCAATTAAAATAAATTAAATGAAGCAATATGTAGCTTCTTTCGTAACGAAACCCTTGAAAAAAATTGTTCCAATTCGGCGGCGGTCAAGCACAATTTTAAAATTTTGCATATATTTGTAGTTTTTCTATTCGGCCAATATCAACATTCAGTCCCTGAAATTGTTTACTTTCTTTCCAAATTTTATTTCTGATTGCCAGATTTTTATTTTCGCGCATTCGGTCCTTCGCGTATGAGGGATTCCACAATTATGACTTCTGGCTAATTAAAAAATCAATGTCATTACAAGGCAGAGCTGTTGCAATGCGAAAAAAAATTCGAATTTGGGTGATGATAGAAACCGCAGAAAAAATTAGTTTCTGGATGAGACTCCAAGACACTTTTTTAACGCGTGGTGTCGTTTTGCTGTTGTGAAATCAATAAAACAAAGGGTTTAAACATCAAGCAACTACAATTGCGCCCGCCACTCAGAACGTTTCGCGGAATCGGCAAAATTCTAATCAACGCATTCTGTTTTGATCTATATTGCCAAATTTTTGACGTCGACTATAGTTAATGCCCATTTGTTAGTAATATCGTTTTGTTTCTATGAATCTTAACGAAGTGAATCAACCTGAAGATGCCCGAAATGAAAAAAAAAATGAAAGGATGAAGTTTGTTGAATAACCATCTGAAAAGCACTTAAAACAAAACAAAAATAAAACAAAATGAAGCGATGACGTTTGTTTAACAATAATGGATTATAATTCAATAAAAATTGAGAAAAAAAACTTTCAAAAAATAATCGATTATAATGATTATTTTTGTTTTGAAAAATAGTAACATTATAATCCATTTTTAATCGATTATAATCATTTTTTTTTGAACATTAAAGAGACTGACAATAAAAAGTATTACTTTGTCTTTTTACTGAGTGCGGGCGCTCACTTTGACGTCGGAAACCTTTTGCCGCTTATTTCAACACTGTCATAAACATTAGGAACCGTGTCGAAAGATCTAATCTAATTAATCTATTACCCGGGTCGAGGTTTGCGATTTATGTTCCGACCGACGCGACCAAAAAATTATATGTTTCGACCGTCTCGACCCAGGTTCGATATGTTTCGACCAACTCGACCCAAGCCGTCTATGTCTGACTATGTTCGACCGAGGAAGAACATCTCGACCGAGTTCGACCGAGGAGTTTTTTTCGACCGAAAAGAATTTCGACCGCGATAAAACATTTCGACTGTGTACGACCAAAGAAAAACGTGTCGGCTGAGTACGATCGAGGAGTCTTTTCGACCAAGAAAAACTTCTACCGCGAAAAAACACTTCGACTCTATTCAACCGAGGAAAAAAGTTTCGACTGAGTTTGGCCCAGGATTTTTTCGACCAAGAAGCATTTCGAACGAAGAAATTTCTTCGGTCTAAACATCAATAGCAAACCTCAATCCGGGTATTTACGCTTTTTCGACCATACTTGAGATGATCATGGACCATACTCAAGATGATCATACACACTTAAGATGATCATGTTCACATGCACGAAATTTACTATTTCTTGCACGAAATTTACTGTTTGATACTATTTATGTTTCAAAATCTGTTTGCGTTGGACATTGTATTCGTAATTTGTCATATGTGCTGCTGCTGACCTGTAAGCTGGATAGTGTTCTGATGATGACTGAGATGGCGGTGTGGTTGAGATTTGTCTGGTCAGCTACGAATGAAAACTTCTTCCGACCAAGCACTGTCTGTCTAAACACAGAACAGAAACACTCAAGCAACGGTTCAGTTTTTGACAATATGATTTTCCCCCTTATGTTCAAAATAATTTTTTTGGTTATCCTTGTAAAATATAAATAAATAAAAAAGAGCTTGGCAAACCTACAAGCGTAAAGGCTACCCATAAGGCTGCTTTTCCTATGTTCTGCTTTCTGATTTACTTTAATCAGACTAATTGATTTTTCATCTTTCAATCTGTCAGTTTCCAAGCAAGCCATTGTTGCGCATCAGACGATAAATTATTGAACATGAAGAAATTGCGTCAAGAAACAGTAAAAAGTATTGGGTCGATTTTACGCGGGTTTCAATTTTTCTTAGAGTTTTGATAACTGTTGATAAAATGATAAAAACAACTTAATCGTTTGCTATGACCTTAGATTCTGAAACTTCACTCAGATTGAAAATTATTTGAAACATCACTCAAAACTGCTCTTAGCAACGATATCCTGCAAAAAAAACATTGTTTTTTTTCCAGAAACAGGTTAACCTTTACAAGAGGAAATCAAGTTATTATAGATTTTTAAAAGCTACTTTTATCAACATTTATTTGTCAAAAAACTGGGTTCTTCATACAAAAGATTATCATATTCAAAGGATTACTAGTTATCATAAAATTTCAAGAAATTGTTTTATCAACGCAATCCAATTAAAAACAATTACATATTTCGAAAAGTATATAATTTTCAGTATATTTTAAGAGCAAAGTTGAAGAATAAAATATAATTATTTGTTAGCAGGGGCGGATTTTGGGGGAGCGCGGGTCAAAATTTTCTAAAGGCGCATCTGGCGCCAATATATACTAATTTTTAGGGGGGAGCGCGGGTCAAAAAAGCGCAATTTTTTGTCAACATTTTCCAAGACGATCCAAAAAACGGCTGTTTGACCTGTTTTTTCAAAACAGGGTTTTTTTAGTGTCTTAACACATAAAAGTTTCTATCTATTTTTATATTTCTATCTATATCAATATCTATATCTATATCAATGCTTATGATTACTTCGGGTAACTGATTTTACGTGGGAAATTAAACAATAAAAAAACAACAAATTTTAGTGGTCGGAACAAAAACTCTCCTCAAATGAGACAGTTAAAAAGTTTTCATAAGTTATATGTTATGAAAGTTGTTGACGCTGCTTTTTTGTTTACTGTATTCTTCATATTTGGTTTTCTGCCTTTTTCTGCAGTCATACAGCGGACGACACGAGACAGTAAACCTTTCTAGTAAATAACTAAATTTTTGATGCAAAGGACCGCCAATTTAGCGTAAGAGAGGAGGGAGTTGATTTAGTTGTTAATGAGTGTCTAAAAGACCTCTTGATGGCAACTTTGCAGGTAGTCTACCCATTCACTAAAATTTGGCTACAAAACTTTTTAGGAACCAGATTTTAGCAGGCTTTTATGAGTGGAGAGGGTGATTTTGTCCTCCACCTGCAAATAAACAGACCACTCACTTCTTAATCGGTGTTTTGAATGCTCTTTAAGGACTGCCATCAGAAGGTATGATACTGCAGAGATACTTGAAGTGAGTGGTCTGTTCTATTGTACTGAATGCTTTGGGAGTAATATCGGAATCATTTCTGCCACTAATTTTGATATCTTTAGTTTTCTCGAAATATGTTCTTAACTGAGCCAATTCAGAGGTTACGATGATTGCCAGATATTCAATGAGGGTAAAGTGAAGATATGCTAATTTTTCCAGAACCCTAAAAACACAATTTTAAAACCCCAAAACTTGAAAATCACAACGGCGCTTTTTAAAATTTGACTTCAGGACATTGGCGATTTTCAAGCTGTTACAATTAGATCGCGCAAAAATAGCAGGTTTAGATCATCATAATTTACTGAATCCTCCGAAACTCGGAATTGTTAACTTGAAAATCAAGTTTGTTTAATTGAATCATTTTACAAACATATCACTAAATAGTAGATTTAGGTAATATATCAAGATTTGTAGTGCTTTCGTGGGCTTTGAAACAATAAATCAATGAAATACTCAGTTTTTTGTTCAAACCAACAAAAAATTTTATTCAAAACCAACACTTCTTCAATAACTAATTCTGGAGTCTCTACATATTTTGAATGAAATATGAGTCTTGATCAAAGAGTCTCATTTAACCAGGGCTATTATATTAAGGTTTGGAAGGAAACCACATACTGACAGTGTGAAAACTTCAATTATTTTAATCGCTACTAGTTTGTAGCCCAAAAACCGTCTTTTGGCTTTTTTTACTGTTCTACCCACCTGCAAATTTTTAATCCGCATACCGATTGATACAAAAATTGGTATGCTGATTAATTGGACAATGACAAACATATTTGGTCTTCATACGCAACCCTGTGAAAACCCTCGTTACACCGTAAAATTGATGCTTACGTGCGGTGGAGAGGAAACGGAAAAAGTGCCGGAAAAAGTGGGAAACGAAAAAAAAAACAGAAGTAGCTTAGTTGATTGAAGTTTTCCGGCATGAAAACAAAAAAATCGCACTTCCCTCTCGAGTCACAATCAGTCCTGTCGTTTCAACAATCTCCAAAACTAGCTTTAAAAATGACCTTTTTTCAAAAAACAACAAATTCCTGCACGTGAAGACAAAAAATAATTAATGCTCTCTAGTTCAAAAACCAAAACGATTGAGTTTGTTCAATATTTCGACTACTGGCATCTAAAAGAATTTATTTTAAGATATATTTTTGTATCATTTTTTTTGTCTTGAAATCCTTTCCTGTCCTTTACACTAGTTCAAGAGAAATTCACAGGAAAAGCGTTATGCTCGGACTTACTTTAATCCGGAAGACAGCATGTTTTTCCAATCGATTTAAGATTGGGATAACTTCGACATCTACTAAAAAATCAGACTTCGTTCGCTCTGTGCAATTTCCACGCCCAATTCAAGCGGCGTGCGTCTCGGTGATTTATTTGGACTGAGAAAACAGAAGTAAGAATAACTAGGGCGGTTTATTTAAATTTTTATCTAGTAAAGCGATATTATATGTTCAGCCTGTGCTATAATGGGGAAATATACTTCACGTTGTTTGAAATGCTGCTGGACGTTTTGCTTCACAAAAAAAACTTTTTGCGGGATACTTGAATGTCAACATGAAAACTAACTAGTATCCTCCCGACACACTAAAACAATTGTAGCTATTCAAGGACCGGAACGGTTGTCAGTTAAGCCGCTACACTATTTTGTGATAGATTTTGTAGAAACTTAGCAGATCAGACAATTAACTTTTACGAAAAAAAATGTTAAGAAAAAGATACAAAAAAAACTGTTGAATACCCAACCTTAAGATTAAAACAAATAAAGAAATTTTCCAACATATATATATATTGAGTTATGACTGGGGTGTATAACTCATAGAGTAATTTCGGATAGGGTACACCGTCTGCTCGTCACGCTATCTTATTTTCGGCCGGATAGATTCGTGCAACTTCTTAGTCTAATACCGATCCTAATCTTACTCTTATACTATCTAGTCTCAGGTTGTTTAACTAGTCTCTGCTAGGCTCAATAGATCTAGGGTATACTGGTTTATTGCGGCTGCTGAAGTGCTCGGGAGAGTCCAACTAATTTCTAAGTTAAATTCAAATCTCTCTGGTGCTGAAATTACAAGTAACTTCAGCACTTACAAATAAGTGGGTTGTTAGTTAGATGGATCATGATTGGTTAATATTAAATACTTTACATTGGTAAAACATTTAATTTATCCAATCATAAAATATAGTTTAGATCAGGTTCCACCCATCCGGGTTTTACAGAGTTTTTTAGAACAGTTCTTCTGTAGTTCAAGGATGGATGATGGACGTTGGTATTTGGCGAACATCATTTTTCTTTTGTTTCCTTTTTGTTAAGGAAGTTCCAGGGATCTGGAATTGAGGACACAAGACGTTGTGTTCTTCTTGTGACAACGACTGAGTCTCTGCAACAGCATCAATTCTGGTTTCAGAATGGTTGGCTATGTCAGGTTTTTCTGTTCTTCGGAGAGAACTTCTTTTGTGTTTGATCTAGCTCGGGAATGGCGTGGAGATTGTGCGTGGAGGGGATGCCTGGTTACTCGGATCTGTACGTATACTTGAACATCGAGGTGGTCATTGGTCTAGTTCAATGAAGTCCTTTTCTGCGAAGTCAAGTCGTACTCTAAATCCTTTGAGTTGTGATTGTGAGCGGCATATCGATTGTAGTTGGTCATTCTCTCTCGAGTGTAGTGAGGTCGTCTTGTCTTTTGATGTTCGTCCTTGGTGTTGTATTCTGATCTATATATTGCATCATGTAATTTTACATTTTATAAATCTTTTATTAGTTTAATATATTTTTTAATAATGATTTTAGTTAGTTGTTTTCACAAAAGCTTTTTGTTTTAGTTCGGTTATTTTGAAGAGTTACTCACCCTTGAGTAGCTCTTATTAAAAATAAAGGTGTGGTCACAAAGCGTGGATGTAGCGCGGTGGGTTAGGCCGGCTATAGAGCATGCTCAGGACGTCCTTTCCTGGTGGGTTAGGCCAGGTGTGGGAGTATGATTTCATGCGGTTTTTATGAGGAGTCCTGTTATGTGACAACATTTTATGTTGGGTTTGTTGTGGTTTTACTTATGTCTTGTTGGTTATGTACTTTGTTCAAAAAGCAAATTGTTTGTGGTATGGGTTTGTCTTTCGACTTTTTTGTGTTTTATTATTTCTTTCTAAGACTTTGTAATAGTCTTCAAAAGAATAAATTATCCAGTTTTAAACTGGGTTAATCCGGTTTGGGTACCGTTGGTTTCCTTTTCTTAGTCATGCTGTTATTTTATGATTTGTGGTATTTAGTAAGCTGCGTTGGTTAGTTTTGTTTAGTATATGATTCCTTTCCAACCGGGTTAAAGGAAAGTTTGAAACTTGTTATTATATGTTAGAGTTGTTGAGTGTGAAAACTTGAAACTGAAATTCATTATTTTAAACAATTCTTCGTGGGCGAGCTGTGCGAGTGTGGATAGAATTTCTGTGCGAATGAATGAAAATATCAAAAGGTTAGTACTGCAATTGCATTTTATTAATTTACTGCATAGAATTTGGAAATTTACTGCTAGTAATGGGGGAATTTTAAGATACAAATTTTCATCATATGTAGATTTACTGCTTTGGGGGAAAATTTTATAAATTAATTTACTGCATTGGTATTATATTTATTTAATTGTTGGTGCAAAAGTTAAAAGGGTCTTAAACAGTTTTGAAGAAGTTTGCTATTT